GCGATGAATAATAAGTTCGACTTATTGCGTCCTTTTTGATTGTAACCAAACACCGCACTAAACTGAATTTAGTAAATATCGACATACGAGGGTCGGCTGAAATGTTCATAGGCTGACCAAGATACTCTCATGGAACGTGACCAAATGAGGTTTATTTTTTAACATCGTCCCCCGTACGGATCAGACATTTGTTTCACCGACGTTGTAGTGCTTGCACCCCATTAATGAAGAAACTTTCATCCTATTGGTCAAAAAAAGTCATCAACTTCAGATATGATGTCATCCTCACTGCAATGCATGACGTCCAGACCTTGGGTCATCTTCAAGACTCTCTCTTCCACTTCTAAATTCAGCTGTTCATTTTTGCACTTGATAAAGTTGAAGCGTCATCCCCTTATGTAACAACTATGTCAGCATGAGTGTCCTTAAGACTGAACACTTTTTTTGTGCAGGTACTTGATAACATGAGGATGCTAAATTTAGTCCATTTTGAAGATAACTCGCTACTAGTTACTTTTTGAACAGTCAGGTGTCAGTTTACCTGAAAACAACAACAACAACAAAACAACAAACAATGCAGTTATTAATAAAAAGAGTTAAAATTAATGCATGCAAAATTTCACAACTCTTACACCACTCCTTCATAGCCTATAAACTTTTCAGATCACACTTATATTTAAAGATATATAAATGTGTTACGTCTGAGCGTGTTTATATGATAGGGTGTAAGTAGTAATACATATATTACTCTTCACCAGTACACACACACACACACACACACACACACACACACACACACACACACACACACACACACACACACACACCCTAATATATATATTAGTATAAAAGTATGAGAGTGGAAGATAAAAATATACAAATAAAGAAACTCACATATACCAACACGTACACACCTGAATATATAATTACAACTGTAAATATAGTTTATCAGTGTTATTTTAATTTAATACAATTAGTGGTAATAATAGATAATAACTGTTGATGAATATCAATTATTTCAAATTTGTAATATTTAATTTCGACGGGTTTTGACGTTTTCGGGTGCCACTGAGGATAAAGTGAGGTAATTTATCATTACATAAAGGATAGATAAAAACTTTTAACATATCGTTACTAGAGAATCAAGAAAAATAATAAATGTAACACTTGATGGATAAAAAAAATTATCTTAATTATTTATTATTATCTTATTTATCTTGATTATGAAAGCTGAAAATAAAATAAATACGTATTTCTGAAGTCAATATGAGAATTGTTTAAATTCGACAATTACATTTAATGGCTATCACATTTATAAACATATTCTTAGAAAAAGTAAATATACAAAAGAAAATTAGTGAAAAGTACACAAACATGAGTATATAAACATATTTTTTTCACTAATTTAAATTATTTAAAATTACTATATTGAAATAGTTCATATATTAAATTGTCTTAGCAAGAAGGAAAGCCTTCTTTTTTCTAGTCAAATATACAATATTATTAAGGGATAAGACTAATTTTTGTGTCCTTTGTTATATATCACTTGACACGTAATATTTAACTCATGTGTGTGTGTGTGTGTATACAAATAGGTTAAAAGAATTCAAGAAGATTGATCTTCGATGGAGATTCATAGGCAGCCCTGAGATTTTATATTTTTTATTTTTACCTACAGTTTGTGGGCTTAAGAGAGAAACATTTGAGGTTATTTACTGGCGTTGATATTCCACCGAGCCACTCTCTTTTAGTACAATGAGGAAGGTGGTACGGCAGGGTTGGAAGACCTGGGACCGAGCGTCTTCTCTATTAATCATAAGGAAAACAGATACCACGTCTTAATCATAAGGAGAACAGATACTACGCATTGATCCCGGACAAAAAGGTTATTTAATCGCCTCGCCACGATGGCAAGGTATGACACAAGGTCTTTTTGATGTGGTGCTACCTTCGGCCAATATAAATATTCAACAATCCCTGCTACTACTGTCACGCTAGCGCCAATATTTCACCGACTCTCTCCCTTTTTTTGTACAATGTGGGAAGTGCTGCCACAGGGTTGGGATTCTCCGTACAAGGCGCCTTCTCCCTTGTAAAACGAAGAGAGCAAATACTACGTATTGATCCCGACCAAAAGTGAAATATTTGGTGCGTTCAGTAGTTTAAATACTAGCAAGTGGTGACGTTATTGTTTCTAATAACAACGCCAATTATAAAACAAAGATGTTTTTTTTATGCATTAGTTTTTTGAATTACTTTATTTAACAAAAGTTTTGTAGGAAAGAAGAACAAGTCAACTTGTTCTGGAAAAAACAGAATGTCAACAAAGAAAACCCTGTTTTAACGTCAGTCATGGTTTTGCAGGGAAGATTTCTCTAAAAAAAAATCAATTCACATAAATTTATAGACCTCATCGAAGGGAAAAAAAAAAAAAAAGAAGAAAAATGAAGCAAATTGATAGTAAAAGAGGTACAATATCGAAAATAAAGACAAAAGTTTTGTAGGGAAAGAATTGATTTGACAAGTTTATGCCAATTGATGCCTATGACGTAAAAAGGCCACGACTGGAAAAACAGAATTCATGCTACCTGAATGTCTCTGACTAAATTTGTCGATCTTGCAAAAATAGAAACAAAGAAAATTCAAATTTGCTGTTTGTGAAATCTGAAATGTTTTCAGAGAGACAGTGATATGGTTTAACTGCAGGGAAGATTTCTCTATCGAAAAAAAAAAATCAATTCACATAAACTTTCTTATATGAATAATCATTTTATGAACATTCATCGAAGGGAATCAGACTTTAATTGTAATATTATTAAAACACTTCAATTTTCTTTCCCAAATTTCATTTGCTGTGAAATACAGACTGAAATTTTTCTACTTATTCTCATTTGAAACTTTCAGAGATAAATACAAAATAATTCTAGGTGTGAAGCGGAAGTATTTTATATGCCATCTTAACTGTTTTGGGACATTTTTGTTTCCGTATCTTGTCTATATATTTGAATAAGCGAAAACTTATTTTATATATTTTTCTAATTAGTGTTTTCAGTTTTGTCGCTTTTCCCTTTAATTTCATAAGATAAATTATGTGGCACTTCTCTATTGAAATAACTTCTTAGTCATTTATCATTTGCCTCCTCTAGAAATCGATCGCAATTTTTTCTACAAGTACAACAATAATCAAGTTAAGAAGGTTTTCCATCTTGCATCGATTTCAAACTAAAAAAAACTATATAGACATTCCAACCACCTGAAGAAGGCCGGAGCGTACAACGGCCGAAACGTTGTGATAAATATGGCGACAAAGATGAGGACAATAGTCCAAATAATGTAAATAATGTAGACTTAGGGAACATAATACTCTCATCTCATATATATATATATATATATATATATATATATATATATATAATTACTGTGGGTAGGTTCCCCCACAAGAGAGCAAACAAAGGGTTACCCGGCATTGTCCAAGGATGGAAGAAAATAACTTACACAGAAAATATAACAATAGAAAAATTGTCGTTTAATATATTTCTTCGAAATTTGCAAAACAGGAATGAAAAATAAATATATTATCTGCGAAAAACGTTTATGATTGAAAAATACTAGTATGAACAAAAGAAATAATGCTGTCCCTTATTTTGAGTTTCTCAGTCCACAAAATTAATGTTTCTTCCATATGAAAAGCTTGTTTAAGGATCGAACTCGATAACACCTAACATAGAGCTGGCTATTGGAAAATAACAAGAAGTTAGATTCAGGAAATTTCCCCCACCCACCTGATGACCATATATCCTTGTACTTTTGTTCTTGGTTGTGCATCAGCAAAGTTTGGAAGCTTCGGACCAAGGACGACGAAAATTGAAGATAGCCTTCCTGAAACTTGTTAAAGACTGCTCCAACCCCTTTTAGATACGAATTAACAGGAAATGAAGACATCCACCATAGCCTCGATAAGAAACCTGCGATACAAAGACCGCTTTTATTTGACCCCTTGGGATTTGCTGCCCCTGTCACCATTCAGGGAAAGTTAATCTTGAGAGACTAATTGAAAAAAGTGGGGGACTCACCTCTTTCAAGAAATGCACAAAATCTGGTCTTCATGGAGATAAGCGTCCAACATTTCATCGAAAAGCAGTACATAGCTGCTTCTTTTCCGATGCATCAAAGCCATCGCTGAATCTCAAGGTCAGACGATAAAGGAAACCCAAGGTTTCATCACGGGGGAAAGCGCTGACGGAAATTCTCAGATGGAGCTTCTGTTCCTGGAAGAATCCTCAGATGATTGTCCTAGCACATTCCTTGACGTCGAAGACGTCAAATTGTTCTGTGTACAACAGCTGCAATCCCTCTTATCGGCCCCTTTCTTCTTGATTTACGGTCCGAATCTGCAACATTAGCTCCTTTAATTAGTTTTATCAGGTTAATTGAGTTCTCTTACTTGTTACTCTTTGAATGTTTCGCAAATTTCTTTTTGTGTAATTTTTTAAGTCATTCTTTTTAGTGCTTGCCAAGATTTTTCATTTCCTTTTCCATGACCTCTGTTCAAAGTCTACCTTCATTTTTTGCAACCTTTGTTTTCATACCAAGGTTGTATTCAACGAAATCATCCCGGAGAATAATTTTACAATATTTTCAGTATTTTTTTAAGCGTTTCCTTAGCTTGTCAAGAGGCATGACAACATTTATACATCTGAAATTAAAAAAATAAATATCAGTAACTCAGATGTCGAATATAATTTTTACCATTCTTTTTTTTGAGATTTTTCATTTCCTTTTCCAAATTTGGTAATTTTCAAGGGACATCACCCAAACAAATAATATTTCAGTTAATTTTATTAGAAATGTCTTCCTTTGGTCAGAAATGATGAACCTTACATATATATTATTTTATTGCTTACAATAAAGGTTGTTCCGTTGGACTTCCCGTTTCATCGTGTCGGATGAACCTTCCCTAACACACACGCCAAACGTTGACATATAAATGGAAAATGTCTTCATGAACGAAAATCAAGAGTTCGATGCTTGTATGAGTGCATAACTGTTATTGGATGTGTGTGTGTGTGTAAGAAAGAGAGAGAGAGAGACAGCGCAAAAGACAGAGAGGGAGAGGGAGAGAAAAATGAGAAAGAAAGAAAAAAAGAAAGAGCGAGAGAGAGAGAGATAAGAGGAAAGAGTGAAAGGAAAAAAATTGAAGATTGAAATGAGAATAAGAGGAGAGAGAATAAGAAAGAGAAGAAACAGTGTAAGGTAAAAAGGAAAACAACGAAAAGCAAACAAGAGAATACAAGCGTTGGAATAGAGAGAATCAGTGAGAGAAAGAGAGAGAGAGAGAGAGAGAGAGAAGGAGAGTAAAAAAAAAATGAGATAAAAAGAGAGGAAGCAATGACAGAGCTAGAAGAACAAAGGAAGATGTAGCAGAGAGGGAAAAAACGAAGTAGAATTGCCGACAAGAGACAAATGGCGAAAGTAAAAAGAGAAGACAAAGATAAAAAGAAGAAAAAGAGAAATATTGGTAAAGAAGCTAGAAGCAGGTAATAGTAATAAGAAAGACATGATCGGATATAAAGCATCTGTTTCTGAAGTACGTTATCGAAATATTTGAATCAGTAACAAGTGATTCAAAAAGGCGGAAAGAAAAGGAAGAAGAGATAGAGAAAGAAAGGAAATAAAAGCGATTAACAAAAATCGAAAAAGGCGGTGTGTGCATATCGATTTTTACTCTTTACGTTCGGGCAAAAGATCAATATCGAGAGACGGGAATCTTCCGTCTGACGTCACAGTTGACGTCATATTTGCAGGTAACGGTTCGTGCATGGAGACGTGTAAGACGAACAAGTAGTACAAGAAGAAGAGGAGGTGGAGGAGGAGGAGAGTATAAAAGGCGCGCGATTCTGGCTATTTTTAGAGTGAATCAGCAAAAAGAGACTTCCATGTTTTCGATAATAGAAAGACGGAAGCTTAACTTTATCATCGTTTACGACGCAAAATATGTATTTATTTTCTTTCTTTGCGTTTCGATTTTTTTTGCTGTTTCAATCGTTGTTGTTTATCATCTCTTTAATTCGCTATTCTTTTGTTACCTTTCCATCGTTCTTCTCACTCTTCTTCCGATCATACTGAATATGATGATGATGATCATCATCATCATCATACTGAATATGATGATGATGATATGATGATGATCATCATCCCCTTTAGCGTTCGCATCATCAGTAACTGGTGGCTTACGCAGAATATTAAGCCTCATCAGTCGCTCATCATCACCTTTTTTATCTGGTTTCAATAATGCCATCATCTGAATGGATTAAACTTTTCCTAGAATTTCCAGTTCATCCAGACATTTTACCTCCGCTCTATTTCCAGTGCTTCGTTAAGCACTGGTACGACAGTCACCTATATGTCTCTCACTGTCCTCAGTTTTCTGGCATGATCGAGACTTTTGTTCTTGTTTTTGAATCATTTCAACCCAGGCAGATAAAAGCAACTAAGGTACAAGAAGTTACTGAGATTGAAAGAAAGTGTTCTAGAAGCCGAGTTGCCAGGTCAGGACTGATAACGTTGAAGATTCTTCATTGGATTTTCTATCGTTTCCCTTTCTTTCAAATGTATTCTTAGTCTGCCCCATATCCACTATCCGATATATGTCCCCCATTTTGTTGAGAATTACCAGATCCGGTCTTCCAGCATGATCTTTTTAATCTTAAATTTCTGGAGAATTTTATCTTTCATTTTCTAGGAACGAGTCTAGCATTTGCACATACCATTGGTCTGTCTACTCATCCTGTAGCCGTTTCTACGCACGCTAACCAGTCATGGCCATTTTTGTATTATTTTCCAACATGCTATATTCTCTGATTTCTATGATCCACTGTTTAATTATTTCCACACAGTCTAAATTTGCCATTCTGTTTTGTCTTATCTATTCTGATCTTTATATATTTCGCCCGCTACTAACAAAATTACTTAGTTTATCTTTTCAGGTTTCTTCTACGTAGCCATTTATTTGTCCATATACCACTCATTTCCTGATGTGTCCATTCTTGTGTTAGACAAATTATTTTCCACTCTCCAATTTCTCTCTCTCTCTCTCTCTCTCGTGGGATGTGGTATGCCTCTCACTGCTCTATAGTTACTTCCATGGAAAGTTCTAGTACGAACTACATTCCTTAGTCTCGCTAGTTATAACCTTCACGGCTAGGACCCGTCACGTCACTCACATTGTAGAAAACCACCCACATTTCCTCCTCAGTTTCTTCCCGCAAACCACTGCTCTCAGGAACCGAATCTCAGGAGGATGTTTCCCTGATCACTACAATCTTAACTTGTTCAAATCTGAGGTTAACTGTTATCTTCTTTTCCTATTCGCATAAACTACCTCTGAATGTAACACTCTACCTTGAATGACCCCCAAGCCTTGTACAGGGTGGACCTTACTGTAAAAATAAAATAAAATAAAAAATAATTGTTTTTTGTCCCTTTTAAAATATTCTTATCTTCATTTTTATAGTTTCTCTTCATTCTTCACTTCATTGATCTTCAGTAATCTTTTTTTTTTTTTTTTTTTTCGTGTATGTAATTTTCGAGTATCTCGGTTGTGGAATGGACGTGGTACCTTTTCGAATGACACTGCACATGGTGTCACAAAATCTGATATAAGGGGATAAGAGTTCGTTTTCCGTGGTAAAATATGTGATCTTAAAAATAGAGTATGTGTTTGTTTGTTTTTTTAGTCTGCGATATTAAACTGGTTTCGTCATATTTCGTGATCGTGCCTCTATTTTACATTGAATTCAAAGAGCATAGAGACAAAGATTACATATTAGTAACACTAAACAGCAGCAGCAACAGCAGCAATAACGGAAGTTGGGCTCGCGAGAGGAACTGGCAAAAACCCAAGCGATGGATTTACTAAATGATATCGTAGAACTAAATGTACGTATTATGTTTTAGAAGCTGATTATAATAGATGTTGTAGGGCACCTCGAGGTGTGTAATGGTTAGCAAGTTTGTCTCGTTAGAAAAATTACGAGTGAGTTCAATCCTCACTGGGTGCCATTTACTTTCGACCTTGTGCCGCATCCAAACTACGCTTGGAAAATCACTATAATAGGTGTTGTACATATCTTTAAAATATTTGTGCAAATTTTAAAAAATATAATCATTAGACATTTCAAAGATTTCGCTGTTCCTTATGAATGATGCTTAGGAAGATACACTGGATGTAACCTTTTTTTGACCTTGTGTGAAAGAATTCTTTGAAATCACAAAAAGAAACATCATCCATTGATTGTTGTTTCGGGATTTTAAACTAAAGGCTAAGTAGCAGTTCTTCGTCACCCGGCAATCTACTATCGGTGCGATTTCGCAAAGACTTACAGAAATGTTTTTACAGTGTTAGAGTTCTGAATGATAGCTTTTGCCGAATTTAGGGCAAAAGACTTAAACAAAATGAATAAATAAATAAATTCTATTTTTAGTGTTTCATCTGCTTTGATAATTTCGATAATAAAAGCATGACGAATTTAGGTCATAATTTTGTAGCAAAATTGACAAACAAAATGAAAACAAAGAGGCTTCATCGTTCAATCATTATGTTTCGTATTGTTTAGTTAGATTAAAAAACTTGTTTCGAGTATAAATTTACAAATGTTTACCTTCTTATTTTTTATTATATTTTATGCCAATATTTTAATTTAATTCTTTATTTATTTATTTATTCAATTTTATTTTCCTTATTTTAATTTTTATTTTTCCCCTAATATGAATCTTCCTTCACTCTATCTATCTATCTATCTATCTATCTATCTATCTATCTATCTATCTATCTATCTATCTATCTATCTATCTATCCAGATGTTTCTTTCTTTTTACTATTTAAATAATTAAATTTGCTACTCTTCCATTCAAACAGGCTTGTTCTTTGTCTCACGATGTCAAATTACACAAACACACACACACACACACACACACACACACACACACACACACACACACACACACACACACACACACACACACACTCTCTCTCTCTCTTGCCTGGACAGTATCTAGATGGGTGACCGCTTGGGAATACCAGGTGCTGTAAGCTTGGATGTGCAGGTGGTGCAATGCATAATGAATCAGGATTGTTAATTGAAGAGTCGAGTTCCAATTCTAGTTGGGTGTGTTATAGTGACTTACGAGCAAATACCATTGAGAAAGGTATGAATCCACCTCTTTCCCCACGGCTACGGGTTAATTAGTAAGACTTGTATCACTAAATCATTACTATAATCCTTCTTCACAAAAAATCTTTACAATCTAAACATATTTTCTGTCTTTAAATAACCTATAAAGAGTTGATAAATTTTAGAAACTGAATCAATCAATCTCTCTCTCGCTCTCTCTCTTTCTCTCTCTCACACACACACACAAATTAGCTTAACCAAAAAGTTTATTTTTATTAAGTATATTTTTTAATTTAAAAGCGAACGAACTTCTTCGCCCACCCAATATATATCGTGGTTGCCAACTCGTGTCCGAATACGGCCATTACTATATAACTTTTTGGAGAATATCTACTGATGTGCTGAACGAATTTGGTTCTTTAGCCCAGAAAGGGACCCACAGACTCTGGAACAAGAGATGCAACAACGGGTGTTACATTATCATGCCATTTAAAATGTCGCATGAAACCGCTTCTTACCGCAAATATCAGATTTCAGTTGCTGGACGTCTACGGCTTTATAGTCAATTTTCACTCTCCGTCGGCGGTGCGCTCTCAAATGACTCCTTAGACCAGCTATCGACAGACACACTCTACCACAATCTGTACACGTCAGATCGAGCTGCCTGCGGGTGTCTTCAGGAAGTTCAACGGGGACGCGTTTACGCACGTCTCTTTTAAGGCTTGCGTGCCTCCTTTTCTCATCATCAAAGTGGCACCTTCCACTCCGAGCAGCCTCATTCCAATTATTGCGATCAGATGCACAATCTTCTCAATGCTCACAAGGAATGTTGCATTTCTTCAGTGCATCCCTGATGCAGTCCTTAAATCGGCATTTCTCTTTCTTGTTGCTTTGGAAAACCGTTGTCATTCATTCTAACGAGGTGGTCCGCCCACCGAAATTGATGTTTTAGTATCAAGGACTCAATACTATCACAACCGCTCCTGTCTAGCACGTCTACATCACTAACAAACATTTGCCAGGCAATGCCAAGGATACGACATAAGCAGTACTGGTGGAATCTCTCAAGCCTTTTCATTCGTCTGTGGTAAACCACCCACATCTCACAAGCATAATGAAGTGCTGTAAACCGATAGACCTTTAGCTTTGTACTCACAGTGAGGTAAACAAACACCGGCATGTTCAGTGACCCTATAACCCCCGCCCCCGCGCTCAAATGCACCGAACACGTACAAATACACAAATAAATGATACCGACACAAACATCAAAAATAGTATAGCAAGCAACATAAAAATGAGCACTACCACAGAACATAAGATTCTAGAATACAAAGCAAATACAGAAATATACCTCAAAAATACCAAACAGAATAACATTACATGCATACCCTCCGATATATATA